GACCCACTTGGACTCCACCCCCCACTAAGCGAATTAAAAAAAAAAATCTTCAGTATAAGTATTTTTCATGAACATGACGACAGAGAGACTATTATTGACAGATCCACCTACCTGGAAAATGAGTACTACTTCCAACCATCACGTGCTGCGATCTATCGCCCCACTATGTGATCATTATCTCACGCAGTACCATAAAGATTTTATTAAACACGGACTTATGTATTATGGCTGCCATTTTCCACATCCTTGCTACTCGTATATAATCATATTCAGAGAGATGGAGCTTTATACTACGGAACAAAGGTCAAGAAATTAATTTAGTACTTGTTTTTAGCATTAAATTTTTAATTAACTGCACTTTCTGAATAAGTTCAAATAAATTTATGAGTCACTCTGTAGGACTGCTTGTATAACCATATGCATCCTCATGTCAGAGAAGAAACAAAAAAAGAAAAACTTGCCTACGTACAATATCAGAACTCAAAACTTGCAAACCCGGATCCTGATACTTGCACCCAAAATGGAGTGCTGCATGCATGCGTTAAGGGGACCAGTATATTTGTCATAAACTATCTCCCCGCTTTGAAACTTGGAAGGACCACCCCCACTCCCCCCTTCCCTGCATCCCGAAAATAAAAACTTTCATTCTAAACAACGCATACTGCAAAGTCAATGAAACTTTGAGTACTTCGTGTTTCTCTTACGCCCTCAAGTTCAAATGCACAAAGTTCAAGGACAATATCCACTGGATGGCTAATAAAGTTATTCAACTTATTAAAAAGAATAAACACGAGGTGAGGGGGTTCCTTACTACGCATTTTCCATGGGACACTCCATCTTCATAGTTCACATTTCTTTATGTTACAAATCTTACAAAAAATATACGATAATTTTGTTTCTTGTATTGCTCTACAAGGCTGAATCAGATGTTTTATGAATAGCGTCGAACTATTTTGAACCCTAAACTATCTATTGTTAGCAAGAACTATTTGCAGATTGGAGGATAATATTGTCACGAATGGGGGGGTTCGCCAACAAGCGACGGTCCCTCGGTCGGTATAGTTCGCTTGCGGACTAAAATCATGGAGCTTATGGGGGGTTGTGTGCGTGACTTATAAGACGGTTCTGTATTGGATGATTGAATTCATTGACACCTTATTCATATAACTTGGAACTACAAGCAATTACAGCGCTGTCGCTGATCTACACACTTTACAGTTCACCGTTACACACACACACACACACACACACCAGGATTCTCAGTCTTCACTAGTCGTATCCTTGCAACGGATTTATAACAGTCTCGCTGTCGCTTCAAATCATACATGAAGTTTTCGTTTCAAAGCCTAATTCCTTCCTTGCCGTTATTCTGCAACTGCCAATTCCGAAGACTCGACTCAATTCAATTCCTCTACTCCCAAGCTCTTATCCTGCCAGGCTGGAGTCCCGAAACTCGACTAACTCTTCTCAACTGAACTCTTCTCTACGACCACTTTGCACGAAACCCACAGAAAACACAATTGTTTTATTGTTTTAGGCATGTCTACTGCACCATTGTATAACAACGATCTCGGCACTTACCGCATATAAAACAGCCTCTCTATTGTTGAGGCTTGTTTACCGAGTCGTTGCCTAGCAATGGGTATCCACGTCATAATAATAAAAGAGCTCTTAAAATTATGAAATAGGAAGATGTGGACTGGATTAATCTGGCTAAGGATAAGGACTACTGGCGTGCTATTTAAGCATATAATGAACTTTCGGGTTCCATAAAATCCCTGGAATTTCTTGAGTGGAGAACACGAATTATCTTTTCAAGATCTCAGTTCCAATGATGTCATTTAGTTAGTAGAGGACCTAGGTTAATTAAATATCTTGCCTCATATTCAAGGGGGTTACGGGGTCGATTCTCAGCTCAAAATTTGGCTCATTTGACTGGTATATTTCTTAATTGTCCTCAGTTCCTCGTCGGAAATCCTTAAATAATGTTTTAAAATGTTGTATAACTACTTACACAATCTTCCAAATTCATCGTTAAAATAACCTGTTCATCTGTATGGGCGAAGAAGCATCATTAAATAGCCTACAAATCATCAAAACCGAGGAGGAATGTTTCATATTGTGATATGGCGGCTGAAAGCCGGAATAGTTGAACAAATAAATGCGGTTATTCCTAGGCGACGCTGCGGTAAAGTGTTTTCCGTGGCAACAGATAGTACCCCAACAATACAGGGCGTGTTTTCTGTGCGGTCCGTACCGAGATTATGTAACGTTTTTAATTGTGCCACCCTATTCCTGGGGGATATAAATACGGGATTTTGTTCTCCAGTTTTGGTGAATGTCGAATCTGAGATAGTGAAATATGATCATGGGTCCCGCAGCACTCGGACCCGACATTTACTGCACTGGCGAGGACCATCTGCAATTGTAAATGACAGATATGTCCTCTCGTCAGAGAAGACGCCCCATATTAAGGAACCCGCAAGTGTCTGACAGCAACAAAAATTTTGTCTTGGGCCCCAGACTGGGGCTTCACACCAAATCAGATTGACCAACTGACCGTCCGTCGTAACAAATTTGACTTTAACTTTGAGAATAGCGAGACGAAGTGATTGGCGGTAAACCGCCAGTCTTGAAGTAATTCTAACTCGTGCCTCAAACTGAGGGCCGATGGCCAGCAGCAATTTGCTTGACTGAAAGCCAGTGGGTGAGGAGTTCTGAAGATTCCCAGAGCCGTCAGAGAGTAAAATATAGTCGTGAGTTCCGTGGGACTCAGAACCAAGCATCGTTATGCTGGCGAAGGCCAATAGCAATTTAACAGCAAAGTCATTTTGTCAGAGAGTAAAATATGTTTATGATCCCCGTGGGACTCGTAACCAAGAATCACTGTGCTGGCGAGGGTCAGCAGCAATTTAACAGTCAGTCAAGCCAGTGGTTTTGGACATAAATACAGAGTCGGTTGGTATCAGTCTTTAGTTGCATTGTTAGCAGCCGGTACCTAACAACGACTAATGAAAAGAAGACTTTATGTGCGCTGTAGTTGTAGTGATCAGTAGAATGAGTGAATCAGTGAAACTGTTGTAGTTGTTCGTAGTAACGAGTTATGAGCATCCAATAGATACAATTATGAACCTATGTCTAGTCACAAGCACGTGACAATATTAACTAAGTTCACTGCAATTTCTGCATTGAGTAGACAACTGAAGCCACTTGTATTGATTTCATGGAATGTCGTTTCGAATCAAGACGAGGAAGTTATTCACAGTGTTTCCCTTGACGATGATGTTATATAGTGTCGAATTAGAGGATGTCTATGAATGATTAATTGGAAAGGATGATGATAGAGGAAGTGGTGGCTGCATAAGATTGTCAGAAGAAAAAATCCTAAAATGACTGAGGAAACCCATGACAAATATCAGTCCGACATCCTTCCCCATCTCAGAGAGCAGCATCATGTATGGAACTTTCTCTGATCATGAATCTTAAAAAAAAAAATACGAAATCATTATTAGTGAGAAAACTGCGCGTTGGTGAGTTAATATATGCACGAAGACCACACGATTTAGTTTGAAGGGGATGTGGAGTAAGGAATATTTGCTTACAAGCTTAAATTTTAACAGTTTTAGAATTTTTATGAATCGCCCTAGATTTTTGTATCTCTATATTGAAATATATATGACGATATATTTAAAATGGTTTTATTTTTGTTATTAATATTTCATTCCTCTTCTTCGATTCTATTCTTTTTCCAAAATATTCAGGGGAGGAGACGACAGATCCATCTCGGAAATACGCTTACATCCTAAGCATATAATCTCCGGATAATTCTTGCCAATCTCCATGTTCTGGTGGGGGGATATAATCTGTTACCAAAATGATGATCGCCAAAAGTGGGTATATAGGCAAATATTGATATGTCGTCGTGGTCGTGGTCGTGGTCAGGGTTATTTCTAGAGAGAAGCAAAATTTTAAGTGGACAGGGTAACTAGATTTCCAAGTGGCAACCAGCTTTCCAATTAAAGCAGAAAATTTTCTTATATTAAAAAATATTTTTATCGTCCTAGAATATCCATGAGAGAATAATATTTTATTTGTGCTTTTAATATTATTATTTGGTGTATTCTCGTCTTTTAAATGGTCTCTCTTCAAAGAAATCAAGGGTGGAAAAGATACTTGGCTGGCCCCCCACCCTTGTCATCGGGTATAATATATATACCTCTGACAATAGGCATTATCGTACATACTTTTGGAGTTTACGTAGGCCACTTCTGTAGATATGTAATAAAAAGTATATAAAACTTTGTAATTACTATATTCATAGTTCTTCAAATGTTAATGAAACAATGGAGAAAGCTTTTCCAGTGAAATTCCTTAATGCCTATCCGCAATAATGAATTAGTTCGTGTTTGAAAACCTCCTAGTTTGAATATGTCAAATCTTAGTCGAAACCTGCCACCTTCAATACATGGTTGTTCTCTGTTCCCAGTAGATCATAACCGTGAATCTCTAATATACATCTTACAGCTAAGATGGGCGATATATCACCATGATAAAGACAGACTAATATTGAAATATTATGAGAAAGAAAGAGAAAGGGTATAGTTATAAGATAAAAACAGAATTACGACTCCCCTCTCTGTTTCAGACGCGAATACTCGACAACATATCAAGCACCTAATGGCGACAAGAAGTCATAGAATTTTTAAAGTCAAAGGAAAGGCAGTGGAATATTCTCCATCTCTTTTCATCTCCTATTTCTTCTTCTTAAAACATATTCCACTTGGCAACACACGTCTTATGCAGCCCACATCTTACGATTTAAAAGACACACAAACCAGTGTGTTCAAATGTGTGATGTGGTAATGTGAGATGAAGAAAAATAAGAAGAGAAAACGATAAGAAGAAGAAGGTAAAGATGACATGTGAGGGGGAGTTTTAACTGTCATTCTGGTCGAAACGCCATGATGTTCCTGTCATATCTCTCTAACCCTTCCAGAGAGCCTTAGTCGCGCCCAGACGCTAGATAAGGCCGGTCATGTAGTGCTGGGACCGTTTGCAAAGTGGCATTGTTAATGCTGGATCATATAGAAGCTACTAGTTCAAGCATAAAATAAATTACTTGCTTATTTCGAGCAGGTGTGAACGTTTAAAACGAAACAAAATATTTTGCACAAGTTTCGGAAAATTGACTCAAATATTCTGAATAAATCGTTTCGAATTATCTTGTCGTCACAACAGTTATTCTAAAGCAAGACTTTATACAGCTCACAATTCAGAAAACCTCAGATCAGTTGTATATAACAACTTGCATACTTTCTAAGGATAATAACACGTTTGACAGTTCTTAAACATGAGTTTTAACAGTTTCTGACAGTGATATTTAATATTTTATCTTCCTAAGAATTTGAAATCTATTTACGATATCCTGAACGTCTATTATTACTATTACAGGGATTACAATTTTAAAGTGTGAAAATGGCAAACTTATTGCTGAATATAATGCTGAGTTTAATGATAACGGTGTCATCTGTGGCTCATGGATTCCTGACAAATGTGATTAATGACGTCATTAGTGAAGATACAGGGGACGTCCGTCTTTTTAAGGAAAAAGATAAAGTAAGGGATGTGAAGGAAAGAGCCCTTGAGAAACTACAAGAGGTAAGTGAAAGTATATTAACCCAAGATTATATACACTCCAGAAGAATTGTATCTGAATTATTGATGCCATAGATACGGTTTTCAGTGCCTGTCACAAATCTTGACGCCCAAAACTATAATATAAATTGATTTGAATCTGTTCATTTTATTAGGAAAATACTATATTCTCCTTTATCCGCAAGTGCATATTGGACACAGCTGGATTAATTTATGGCTTTAGAATTAACTGCATTAAGCTGAATCCCTCTTGAAAAGCCAGCAGTTTCTTAGCTACTCAAGAATTTCTCAACATTTCATGGAACCCGAAATTTCATTACCATGGTCACAATAGACCACTGCTGGGCCTTACTCTGAATCAGCTGGCTCCAGTCCATATAATTTCATTCGATTCCTCTAAAATGTTTTAGAATTCACGGCGTAGATACCAATTAGTTACACACAGGGACAATTATATCTTTTTATACAAGTTTTTAACCACCGTCCAATGTTATTGATAAAAGTTGTGTTTTTAATTTATCTTTTTTATGTTTCGGTCAAGACGGCCATCTTCAGAAGGATATCATCAACACATATGGGAGCTACTGTTGCCATGTCATAGATATACGTGTTATATCTTTTAACTAATACTAAAATGTACAATGATTTGTTGAAACATTTTAAAATGATCACATTTTGTCACTTTACAAAGTAACGTTCAATATTTTTCTTAATCTAGAACCAATTTGGTTCGTGTCGTGTAACGACACAAAAAAACTCAACTTTTATCAGTCACACCGGACGGTGGTTAAAAATCTTATATACAATGGTTAGTTTGACGGTCCAGGATGAGACAAATTAAGTTTATCTTTGTTTATTTTAAAATTTCTGAAGTAAATGTCTATGCTAGGTAGAATAATCTAAAATCAATCGAGCAGTACTGATGACGTGATAAAATATGGTCTTATACCAAAATTAGAAGAAAAGTTTATAAATATTATTAATTAATTTCCTATGTGACAGTGTGAGTTATATTGAAAAGGCAGGTTACAGGAATTGTTTGATTTCTCTCTGGTTTGTTCTTTCATTACTCAACGCCGAATTTATTTTGTGTCAAAAACACTTATGCAGAGTGAACTAGAAAAGAACTGGACGGCCATGGGGTATTTCAAGATCCTGTTCCAACATTACTCGGGAAACACGCCGGAAAACCATGAAACACTTGATTCGTGGCAAACGGTTGTTCTGAAGAGATTCTAACCGGATAGTCGCAGAAAATATGAAAGCTATGAAGCCCTCACGGTGGTGGCTACAAAAACTGTCTTCTTCTGGGATGTGACGCCGTGTACTTCAGTAGCTTATTACACAAATTTCAGAGAAAATGCTGTCTCCGTCATTAAGGGAAGAATTCTGTCATGAAGATGGAGGCAGCATATTCCTTCGAAAAAATGGTAAATATCTACTACATTACAAACATCACACTGAACAAATTTGCTGAAGCAATGGATCTTCTGTCTTGTATTCCGGAGGTGACAGGTTCGAAACTCATCCTGATTGAGTTCTTCCGCGATTTTCCAGGGTTCTTCCAGACAAATGTCAATGACAGTACTTCAAGTTAGGACAAGGCCACTTCCTTCTAAATCCTTTTCAATTCACTAGTAACTATCACGCTATCATTCTACGCCAAATAAGCTAAGCTGCTGAGAGCGTCGTTAAGTAAATCGGAAAGAAATAAACAAAGACAAATATAATATATCAGAATGCAGGAGAGAGAAGTGTCCTAGAATGTAAGTCAGACACGTTGCCGCCTAAGCTAACCTGAGAGAACAGTATAGACTAAAGTGACAAAGTGTGAATACTATTCAGTCGCTCAAATGAAAACCAGAATTAATATTATCCGTACTCCAATCCATATTTATATTACTAACAGTAAAATCAAAGTTTCAGTAGTTCTGTACTCAATACAGCGTCGCTAAATTATCTGAAATTCATTAAATCAGAATTCAGATCTGTTCAGATTTCTTACGACACTCTGTATATTTACATTTTCTTAAATTATGAGTGGACTGACCGTTCGCATTAGCAGATGTCTCTCCTTTTTTTTTTTCATTATTTCTTCACGTATTGGATAGCCTGTACTGGTCTGAAAATGCTAGTCCTAGCATTTCCTCAGTTTTCCTGTTATTATTCGCCTTGTAAGTGAATAGTTATCTTCTATGAAATCTATTCATCACATCTATCAACGCTTTCCTTGTATTTCTTTCCGATATGCAGTAATCTCTTTAGTCAAGCTTACGTGCCTGTTATCTATCGTAATTTTCTCCAGTATCCGAGTATTTCCCTCTTGACGGGTTTACAAGTTGCAAAATGAGCCTATTATAATTATTATGTCTCCCTGATCATTAAACAACCAGTAAAAATTTATTAAGACTGACACTGGGAAGTTTTACTATTAGTAATTAGTATATTAGCTGATGTTAATGAGAAATTTACATGAAGACCTGTATTATCTAGTAGGGACGTCTCCAAAGTAAACTGCACGAAGCCTAAACGTTTCTTTTTCATTACTGTAAAAAAAACATACCTTTTTGAACCATAGATTTCCTTGGAATATTCTGCCAAATTTATCTATTCCTGGCTATGTTTTTCTAATTTCTTCCCGCCCCAGAGCTTTGACATATTTTCCGCTCCATATCCCCATCTGTTTCGGCCTTGCTATGTTCATCTGCTAAATATTTATAGGAGCGAAATACATTCTAAATAAAATTTGGAGAAGAAACTACAAGACACAAGATAAACAAGAGAAAGACAAATCCATAACTGTTATATAATGCCCATATTTTCTAATTAGTTTTTCTATACTTCTTTTGGCTTGTTTTGGACTTCATCTATCGCCTGGTATGTAAAAGACAATAGATCACGACGTTTCGGAGACTGGATCTAGTCCAGTGATTGAGACTAGCTCTTTCTAATGGGCCCAACTGAGTAGGTTTACCCTTTCCTACCCACCTGAAGACGGAGACAGATCCAGTTTCCAAAACGTCGTGGTCTTTTGTCTTTTACATACCAGACGATGGATGAAGTCCAAAACAAGCCAAAAGAAGTACAGTATACACCATCGTCAGAATCATTTCAAGTCTATCTAATTTTTCTATGTATACGAGGCCACGGATCTTAAAACTTCTCATATCTTCAGTTTATATACCCCGTCTGCCCCAGATATACAATGTTAATATTTTCAACCAAAGATAAATAGCTCTTTCTTGTATGCCAAATAAGGAACACGTTCACAAAGAATGCGACATTTCAGTTCACATCTACTTCTCCTTGTTCAGGTGTTTGGATTGCCGGATTTGGGTGAGAAGCGCCATCACCAGGTTCCTCCACAGTTCATGACGGAGCTCTACAACAACATAGCAGATCAGAGTGGATCTACTCGCAGGAGAATTCCGTACAACGCCACAGTGATTCGCAGTTTCATTGAGCGAGGCAAGTGACTGAACTTTATGCTCCTGCTTATGAACTGCGTATGTGTTGACATTCATATCTAGTATTACGTACAGGTCGTATTCTTTCTTTACGTGGCATCTGGGCTATGCGTGAGGCGAAATGGGGGACACAGTGCCGATCATAGTGGTCGCACGCTCTAACACTGAGATCGTGGGTTCGAATCCCACTCGAGGCATGTGCGCTTATTCTCTGTTTGTGTTGTTCTATGAGTAGGTAGCGGCCTGGCCACTGTCCTACCGACTTTGTATGAATTAAGAGCCTGAGAAAGAGACCAAGGTCCACGATGACTCTGGAGCCGTAGACAGATATATGGCCGCGCCATAGTTCAAGCTGATAGTCGCTGCCTTCCCACCGCGACGGCCCGGGTTCGATCCCGAGTCTGGTCAAGTGGGATTTGTGGTGGACAAAGTGGCGCTGTGGCAGGTTTTCTCCGAGTACTTCGGTTTCCCCTGCCAATCTTCATTCCACCAATTGCTCCACAATCACCCTCACCTATCTGGGGCTGGTACAATAGGCCAGAATTGGCCGCAGTACAAGGGACTTAGTCCCACCCCACTAGTATTAAAAAAAATAGAGATATCAAAAAGTAGCGGAGCAGTGGTTAGAGCGATATTTTGAGAGGGAAGGAGGGTGACGCAGTGTAACTGAAGCCCTTTTATAACCCATGCACACCCTATAATCCTTGCTTCAGTGGAGCCGACGAAAACCACTCTCCATTCTGTTAAGAACATGCAGGTTTAGAAACACAGTCCATACGTTTCTGTCGTTACGTCATGGGAATTCCAGACATTGCGAATGAAGAAGATGAATTCCAGACGTGAAATATATGTGGGAATACATGGTATATGATTGGAGAAGTGTAATCCATCATATAAAAATAAATAAATAAATAAATAGAGTCGCATTTAATACAGCATTGCGTTAAAAGCAAAGTGAAATAAATCCAATATTAAGGCCAAAATTACTTAAACTTGTTATTTTGTAAACCGTGATTATTTCCCAGAGTTCATGGTAAATTGTTGGTTTTGAAATTTTGAAAATGTACTCATAATACTGCTTTCCTTTAATTGGCTCGAAGTCATAAGAATTACGGCGGAAATATATTAGACGTAATATTTTTTTATATAACATCTGTTCCAAGCTTATTTAAAGACACGCTCGGAGAAATGCACACAGATCCTCAGTTACATCCTCAAACATGTTAGATTTAAATAGTTCTGGATAAAACGCAGCGTAATTTGTAAAAATACAAGCGACGCTTAGTAAGAACATGTCGACTCAATCTTCAGGTTCACAGAAGAGACCATGCAAGAAATCAGCATCAAGCTGATAGCAAGCTGATTCTGAATATCAGGGCGATATGTTCCTCTGAAACTTCCGACTACACAGCCTTATATATACTTTAGATTTAAGCTAAAATTAAAATGGTTGAACATTTTTTCGTAAAGTAAACTAGCAAAATCTGCCCATGATTTCTCGAACTGAAACATGTGCACACATACGCACTACTAGTTCTATATGCTTCCATTTCACGAGCATCTCGCAAAAAAAAAAAAAGCATAACGAACGGTTAACAAAAGTTGGTTATCCATTTCGGGATTGGGGGTCAGGCAAACAGGTCTATAAAACTGTCACGAAAGGTCTCAGAATTATACAAATAATCTATAACGATATGCTGGAACACGAAGAAGAGTTATGAGACTTCGAAGATCAGCATCAACCTTTTCACGATAAGGTTCAATGGCGGGCTGTTATAATTGTGGCGATGAACATCGTGATACATAATACGAGGAACACTTCTAGTCAACTGTACACGTGCTAAATTGTGGGATGTTTCATTTTAACAAGAGAACAGTTATGGGACAAAATTATTTGAATTTTTATTTTAATTACAGATAACTCTCTGTGCCACTATTTCCACTTCAACATATCGGGGCTGGACGTGACAGAGAGTGTACTCGAAGCGCAGTTGCACCTGTACCGTATGAAGATGCAAGCATATGAAATGCACCCCGCCCTCTTCACCTCTCCCAGCCTCATTGTGAGTAGCAAACGCCATTCCCGACGCTTGTTTTACTAGAGGAATACATCTCCCTAAGATGAAAGCTAATGCTCTTCTCTGTTACACTTCGTCTGAAACGGTTCCGCCTTCCTGCGCAGGCGTCTGTAGGTTCCAGGACCAGCGTGAAGCCATGAGAATAAAATTAATTTTAACGTCAAATTCCGCTGAAATAATTACTTTTAACTTCATTTAATCATCTCTTCCATACCCACCAGTCAGAAAGAGAAGAAAATTTAGGTTTCAAAATTAAATTAAATTAATTATTCCGTGCACTTACAATTTCGTACAAAATAAACAATGTTACCACGCATTTCGACAATTCGAACTGTGCTTGACTTTGTGTGGAATATATACAAGGGATAGTCAATAAATAAGTCACAAATGGATACAAAACGTAAAACATGTTATATTTGAAACTGGGGAAAACCTTTACTTCTCGATATATCCTCTACCAATATTGATACACTTGTCCCATCGCTTCGCAAGTGAGTCGAAATCCGCAGCATAGAAGTCTTTTGACTGTTGTCTCAGCCACTTCCGTACCTCCGTTTCAACCTCTTCGTCATCAGCGAAACCTTTGTCACCCAGCTGTGAACCACTTTACATGACAAACACTTCTCACCGTAAACAGGAAATATTTCTTTATGAATATCTTTAACATTGAGTCCTTTTGCCCATAAAACAATGCGCAACAAAATTCGTCTCTTCGGTAGTATACCCTCGCCATTTTTACTGCTGAAACAAGCCTCTGAATATGCGCATGCGCGTCTGATACCTAAACTGTCATGAAGCTGGGCTGTGCTGTTACCTAACGATACACACAGAAAACCTATTACATCTATTACTGCTGTTTTACTTCCATTTGTGACCTATTTATTGGCTCTCCCTCATATATCATGTGCCCCTTTATGAGTCTCCACCGGTTCAGGATACATGTATAAAGGAATCCCACTAACACAACATCTGCTGTACTGTAAATGCAGATCCGTGTCTACCAAGTACTGGACGAGCAGCAGCTAAGCCGGCCAGATATGCACAGACTACTCAGTATTCACACAGTGGGGGCCCACTCTCACGGCTGGGAGGTGTCTAACGTCACGGAGGCCGTGCTGGACTGGATAACAGGCCGGCGTCCCAATAGGGGTATTCTTGTCACATGTAACACGATTTTTGAGCAGAGCGTCGAAGTGCGGTTCGCCCGTCGCAACGAGCATCACAACAGCAAGCAGCCCATACTAGTGCTGTTCGATGACGAAGCTAAGATACACGGCCCTACAACCGCCCCTATCACCCATCCTCGGCCAGGTAAAAAATAGTCTTCTTCTTTCTATTAAGGATTTACATTTAACATTGTACCCTGTGGGGCGTTTCGACAATGAAGAGAAGGCACGTGACGTTACAACCTCTACCATAACCGACCCCTCTATTCTGGAAAGAAGAAAGGGTTGCTGCTGTGATTAACAAACTGTATGAACACATCCGTCTACTTAACTTAGGATTCCCTGCGACAGAGATAAACACGATTCGGCGGTGAAGCTGAGAAGCATCGTCCTACAGCCGCTCCGTTCACCTGTCCTCGGCCCAAGTATTATTATTATTATTATTATTATATCATTATTACCATTGGAAAATTGTAGTTACACATTACATGGGTTAGATCATGATGCCCTGTGATGAAGGTGAACACGTACATTTCTCACATCATAAACATCACACACATTTCAAGAAATAAGTATTTTAGCGTGTCCTGAAACTTAACAGTTTTACAAACGGTCAACAGTTTTGTGATTGGTGCAAAATTTTACACAGTAACGAGACTGCTGGGACTGCAGCTAATATTGTAACGGAATTGATCAAAGCGTTGCCAGGCAACAGGTCTGTAAATACGGTCCAACAATAGAGGAGGCTGTGTATTCCGTGTCTGCGGTAACGCCACACAGTTTTGGGTGTTAATCACGTGACATGTTTCCTGTGATGCGTGTCCGTTCCTCGGCTATATAAGTGACAGAATTCGTTCCGTTCAGGGAATACCTCCACTGTGCCCTGCGAGTCGTACGAGGCGACGAAAAGGGAAGTCTCAGATATGAGACAGAAAAATACGGTCGCGAGTCCCAAGGAACTCAGACCCGAGAAAGACTGCGCTGGCAAGGGCCAGCAGCATATACAAAAGACAGACCCGTCCTACTGTCAGAGAGGGCGCCCCACAAAAACAAGACCGTAACTGTCAAACACTAATAAATATCAGGGGCTCGACACCAAGACTCAGTGACTGACTGACCGTCAGTCGCAATGTGAATTTGACTTTGACTTTGACTTTAACTTTGGTTCAGGGACGAGTCAGTTCTCTTTAGGAGATAGCCAAGAGAAGTTCATAGTTGAAGAAGAGTACAAGAAGTCAGCCTGTGAAGATTTAACATGTGATTTGAAGACTTCATATGTGCTATAGTGCAGTGATATTGGGAGTGTGTGATTTAGGTTTTAGTTTTTACTTTTAGACTTTTATAGTTCCTGTGTTATAAATCCGTGAGGTCTAGTGCAGGTTGACTGAGAATATTAGTGTGGAGTGAATGTAAGTTGTGTCAATCAGCACTAGTGTTATAATTACTTGTATTTACGACCTGTAAGTATCCAATAAATCTAATTACCGATCAAAACCCGCGTCATAGTCACTGTGACACGTGACAATGTATTTATTTTAATTTTAAAGCTACAAGAAAGTAGAGTTTTTGCCAAAAATAAATAGTTGAGGGGCTTTAAATTTATGAAGCAATTTGACATTACAAAAGCAAGTGTTAATAGCGCCGTCAAGAATTTCGTTAAATTAAATCCATAGCATTTAAGCTAGATAAGAGGAACATAAAGAACTTAAAGATTTACGTATGCTCCTTTCGAGATATTTCTCATCTTCCCGTTCAATTGTGTCTATCTATCAACGAACTTCCTCATAGATATTTCATTTAGAAGTAATAGCTTTACTTTGTCATATATTGGCTCTGTATTTCACTCATTTCTTTACTTTTTTATTTGCAAAAAACAGGAAACCTGAATTACTACAAATACCACAATGATCCCACTAACGAGGAAGGTGATTCGTCTGCAGAAAGAGCGGCAGTCCGTCAGAGAAGGTCCCTGCCAAACGTTGCATCTGCAAACTCAAATCTCAACAGCTCCACAGCAGACAACCCACCTCACAGGGCCAACGCTTCCGGAGAGTGTTCTCGGTTAGAACTCTTTGTAGATTTCGAACAGATTGGGTGGTCATCTTGGATAATTGCACCAAAAGGATACCCTGCATATTACTGTAAAGGTCATTGTAATTTTCCGTTAGGTCAGAGTCAGCGGCCGACAAACCACGCTACAGTGCAGAGCATAGTACATGAGCTTAACCTCGCCCCGGATGTAGGCAAACCTTGTTGCGTGCCAACAAGTCTCCTTAATGTCCCCTTACTTTTTTATGACGACAATGATAATGTTGTCCTTAGGATGTACGAAGACATGGTGGCCGACAGCTGTGGGTGTCTGTAGAAAGAGAAGCCTCAATGTTATTCGAGACAATTTAATTTGATAAAAATTTCAGAGTAAATGGATTTAAAATGCTACAAATTATTCTTGTTACACCTCCCGAAACTTCAGTTAATTGGATGGTATTAATTTTATTTTTCCTCATCTTACACATGGAAACGTTTCGTTGAAAATTCAAATGTAAAGTTTCTGCTCTTATTATGCTCAGAAATTCCCACGCGCAAATGCCTGTGCCTAAGGCCCCTAGACAAAATATGATTCAGCCTTCGGCCTATGGCCGTAACCTTCGAGAGCTAGGAATCTCTCAGATTGTAACTTTAAAGGCAGACGTTTCAAAAGAAATCTCATATTCTATTCGTACCAAACGTGCAAGCCGTCAAATGGCGCCTCCATCGGCGTTCTTCTGAACTTGTTGCAACTGCTGAGGAGCGGAAGTTTAGTTACTTTTATACATATAAAGAGAGAGATTGTTCAGTTTTCTTCTGCTACCCTCTAGCAACATTGGTCTCCTTTACGGCAGACGTTCACTTCCCTCTATCATTAGACCCTTTCATCAATTTCGTTACCTTCTGCTCTCGTGAATTATCCTCTGCATCTTTCAGCAAAAATAATACATTCCAAGTATGCAGATTTGAATCTCTGTCCTTATAATAGCATTCGTTTCCAATTATCCATCCGGCATCTATCGTTAGTCTTCGTAACACATATTGTTTTACGAAAAGAGATTTTAGCCTCACGCCCAACCCTCACGAGAAGGACCAAGAACTACCATTAATTTGGACCCTACCCTTCTATTTGTGTAGCTTGGGCAATTCTACCAGGAGCTTAATCCCTTGTTAGCATAACTGTTCCGGCGATTACGGTATTCAAAGGTTTCCACTGAGTAACGTAATAGCGCAGGGGGCAGGAAAATTGAGAAAGGCGTATTGTAAAATTCTCCTTATTAAAACGATCCAGTGAATCCCGAGTTAAGTCACTAAAGCGCAATAAATTCTGTAATCAAAGAAAGATCTAAACAGTATGCAGCATTACTATCTCTGTTTTGTACGAGACTAGAGGTGTTCACTGGATCTAGTCCTATAATTTCTAACTATAGCAGAGGAGAATTTTCCTTAGTTAAAAAAAATGTACAGTAAAGAATCTATCTCGATTTATCAGTTTAATTTGTGAGTTATAGTCCCAGTTTTATATCTTTTTTATAATAACTGCAAGAACATCCTGAAATTTTAACTTCATTCATATCCGCGCTGATCCCGAATTGTATTTATTAAAATTAAAATAACTCTGTAATATTCGTGAATGCCACTTATACTGATTTAATTATGTCCACGACGTGTTTGTGCACCTGAAGTTCAACCGGCGTCGCGTGAATGTCACAGTCTAGCCACTGAACTTGAATCATTAGGTCTTACAGTTATTTTCCGATAATGTTTCTAAGTATAATAACATTATTATTGTTATATTATCTCCTGGTATGTGACGCATTGTAGGTCTATAAAAGTTCACTGAAGTTTGGGAGGAAAATTACCTTCATATTTACTTTTATCCTGAAGAAAGAGATTGTATGATTGTCCGAAATATTTGCAACCACTTACCAAATGGCACGATACTATAACTCAGAAGGCCAAAATTCTGTTTTAATGTAAATGGAAGTGTCAAATCTGAAGCAGAAAGAAATCAAATCGGGGCAGTTATCAGAGTTTGATAATTCTTTTTTCTGTGGCGCTACAGCCCCAATTTGGGCCTAGACCTACCTCCATGAAACTCTCCGTTTCACTTCAGTTTACTAGATCTTACACATTCGGTAGGACTCCTTGGGCGAGTGATCAGCTCGTCGCAAGGCTGTGTAGACAAACACAGAAAAACGCACACAAACATCCATGCTCTGAGTGGGATTCCAACCACGATCCCGGCTTCCGAGCGATCGAAGACAGTGCATGCCTTAGACCGCTCGGCTACCGTGACCGGTTTTGATAAAATTTACTCTCGCTTATTTGTACTTTAATTAGTAACTTCATTTATGGAATCATAAGTACCTAAGAAAATCAGATTTAATTGTATGAATTACGCATTTCTTTCTGAAAGCAATTTCACAAGAATATGTTAATATCTAATCTCCTTAAAATATCAGGCTGTGTAAGTAGCAATAATGTGTTTAAAATTTCGCGTTATATTTTTTTTAATTTATGCCTCTACTGAGTAAAAAAATTACAAGCGTGAGGCAGGAAGGGCAAGATAAATAAAACTGTGTTAAATTTTGTAATTGAGGGCAATTAAGATTTAACACAAAACTCTGGCCCTGAGAGTCAGGAAATTATTTTGTTTTCGAGAAACTGCCACACAAAAAAGAGAAAATAAAATGGAAACTAAGTGAATTCATTCAACTCTAGTCCCATAATGTTAGAAAATTACTGTCAATAGCTGCACTTATTTCCGTTAACATCATTTCTGAAAGTGTGATTTTCAAAATAAATAATGTTGAAAGAGACGCTGAGAAATAAGTTCTGAAAATATGAACCGAAGTGAAGTCCTCCACGATGGAGTCGAATGACGGGCTTTAGTGTCCATGTTGCTGGTAATATATATATATACAGTGCGTTCAGTTAAGGAGGAAACTTCGCCACACCGCTGACCGAGCCCAACATTCCTCACAGACTGCTGCTGTAACTGCTAATAGTAAAATGAGTCATTAGCGCTGATAAACGCGCGCCGTTACAGTTACAGCAGCAATCTGTGAGGAATATTGGGCCCTGTCAGCGGTGTTGCCAATATTCCGCCTTGATTGAACGCCCTGTATATATATATATATATTATAACGAATGGTGAATAAATATAACCAGCTCAAATAACATACTGTAAAATGAAGTTATTTGTTTCGAAGCTGCTAAAGAAGAAAATCCTAAGAAATAAATTAATCGATTTAAATAATATAAAATAAACTTACTTATACACTCATAGTATTTTAAAAAACAGGGTGTTGAGGAGAGTATCTCGACCGAAGAGAGATGAAGTGACAGTAGGTTGGAGAAACTGCATAATGAGGAGCTTCATAACTTGTACTCTTCTCCAAGTATAATTAGAATGATCAAGTCAAGGAGGATGAGGTGGACAGGTCATGTAGCACGATTGGGAGAGACGAGGAATGAGTATAGGATATTGGTGGGAAAGCCAAAAGGAAAGAAACAACTGGGAAGACCAAGGCGTAGGTTGGTGGACAATATTAAAATGGATCTTAGAAAGATAGGATGGGATGGTATGGGCTGGATTTGTCTGGCTCAGGATAGAGACCAGTGGAGGGCTCTTGTGAACACGGTAATGATCCTTCGGGTTCCATAAAATGCTGGGATATTCTTGAGTAGCTGCAGAATTGGCGGCTCCTCCAGAAGGGCTCAGCTCCATGAGTAAGTAAGTGAGTAAGTATTTTAAAAACGAATAAGTATGAAATGACGGTCCACTAGAATGATTATTTATCGCACAAGATACATGGCTCCCGTGTTAATGGGGAAGCATAGGAACCTGGGTCGGTGGGAGGGGCTTGTAAAGAAAGGGCGGACATCCAATTTCTGTTTTCTATATAATCAACAAGAAGGCCTGGTGGTGAGAGAAAAGTCGTTGCCTGCTATCTCGTTGCGGGAGAAATTTTGTTCCGTAAATAACGTTAGAATTCGTAAGAACGCAGCACAATTCTTCGTTATGGCAAATAAATGTCTGTTGACAATACAAAATAAATATCAATATTTGTATTATTATTTATCTAATAAATCAGATGTTATAATCCACAGTTTCAAGTGATGGGAGGGGAGAGAGAGAGAGAGAGGAGCATATTTGAATATTTCATTGTTTAGTCGGATGAATATTTCCTATCTCTGTAACAGGCCGTGGAGGCCCATAGGTCTCTGAGACGTCGAGGCTCCCACGTTATCTACATAATCGGCTCACCGATGGCAGTGAAGTTGTATGAACTCTTGTAATCGGTTGGACATATACCTAATTCGATGGGAGGTATAATTCCATTTCTCCTCCCCCCCCCCAGTTTCAAACGTAGTGGGTGTACACTACATTTTGTAGTTTCCTGAACTGCTGTAAGCGATAGTGGACGTATCTTTCCTAATTTATCTACCCCAAAGTATGTTCCCGGTAAGCATAACATGTCGCCACTGAAACTCGCTGTGTAAGAAGTTCAAATATAATCTTCATGGGATAAAGTTCAATACAACACTATAGAAAATCTTGGACTATGCATGTAAAATTTTGCAGCATAGTTGAAAGTATTTTGTTAGACGGGCGTAAAATGTTGCGAATTAATTAAAAATTAAGGACTAAAACAAAGACAGCTCAATTCGTGCATTTAAGAAAATGCTTCAGGTGATAACGGTAAATATGTCGAGAAATAAAATATAAAGGTAGACACTGATGTTCTTTTATCAGAGATAAGTAACGTAGAAGATGGAGCGCTCGGATAGTGTGGTCTAATTGAATGAATGAAGATATAAAAATTACACTTCCCCACAAAAGAAAGTTGTACTGGTCATCACCAGAAGGAGAAAGAGGAAGAAGAAGAGACATACATGTAACTGGAGAACATATATTACGACCGTTATACTAGACAGTCAGGGACTCCAGTGACCCATGAAGACGCGGATTCCGAAATCCAATGAGAAATCTTGTAATCCTGAATAAATAGTAACAACACTAATTTTGTTCTTTGTTGTGGAAGTTCAAAATATGTTAACAGCCGTGGCTACAGAACTTAGCCAAAGATCTCAGATTGTACGTCACAAAATATAAATTGCTTTTCTCTTATTATTAATGTTTTTATGTAATATAAAATCATACCATTTTTACATGTATCGTATATTCATAATATTTAGATAATTCTCGATTATATCCTGAATCTTTTATTATTAATGTATGTTAAGATATATATCTATATATATTCTGATCTCCTGTGGCAATGGCCTCATAATTATATGTATAAAAGTTATGATAATAATGAAAATCATGATCTCTATTACAAAAATAATTTGATAGATGGTTCTATAATTATGATCAAATTTATACATGTCTATGAATATACATAGCTTATGTTGGTTTATATATCAAAGACGTGATCAATATAACTGATCTTTGAGAACTAACCTTTTTTTCCTTTCAGCTGTTTTAGTATCATCGATAAAAGTTCAAAATTGTGATTTTTATATAAACGCGTTTTTAACATTCCTTAAGGCGTTGTCTATTTCTTTTTCGCTTTTATCTGATGTGTGTTACATATATATTTTTTCCCCGAAATGTCTTGTGTTAGTTGTGTGTGCTGATAAATTTTAACCAGTAGCATCTTACGGAAGCAAAGATCCTTCCAGAGAACGTGCCAATTTGCATTAAGTACAGGATGGCCCGCAAGAACTGTAATTTTGTAAGCAGAATTATTTTTTGCGTGATAGCAGAGAGGAAAGTGTGACTCTGTGACTAAGTACTATATCTTGTAAGCATAAGGATGTGACAAGATTATTGTGATCAATGAATTGCAAGGGCATTTTCCCGATGAACTGTCAGAAAATATAGTTGAAAGGGGTCCTGATATGTGCCATCAAAGCAATGATAAAGAGAAAGACAATACCAACACATCACTCGGGACATTACGTGTCCTCAGAGAAACTCAAAATATACATCAAATTTATTATTATTAAACTTAAACATATTTTTATTATATTTTGATATATCGACCCAATGTTAGGTAACGGCTTGATAAACACGTTCGAGAGGAGACAGATTCTTGGTTAACAGCCCGTTGCTGGGTAATGCGTACAACAATACGCGACAACAAAGGACATCCGTCGTTGGGTAACGGCCAATAAACACGCATTCTTAAAGTTTTTTCCTTGGGGTTCGTTCCCTGTAAAGGATGCCCTATTGTTGAGAACGTAACTCTTGGACTTTGTTTATTGAGCCGTTGCCTAGCTATGGTCATATGCATCAATTTATATTAAGAGACAATTTTTCGAAGATCCTATATCGTGGAAGATAGAAATGAATATGAATCAATGACCGGAAGTGACATATAACGAGGCGGTCTTGTCCCATTTAATGACACTATCTTAGAATGCGCCTGTGGGGTGCAGGGAAAATAATCAAGATTCTCAATTAAGATTTTTTAACTTTTAGACAGTGGTAACCATTCAAATTGCATTCTTCTGTGTTGTGACACCGTGTAGTCTTGTAGGTAAATACCCAAACATTCCGAAGGGGTATGCTACATGAAGGTAACATATGCCTTCTAAAATTTGGTTTCCACTTCAAAGATTACAGAGTCACAACCGATAACCACAACCCGAAGACATGTCCCACTAATGCAGTAAGATTTCTATAGAGCGACATGTTTCACAGGTAAAATTAAAGTAGACCTTTTAACTTAGTTAGACACAGAATCCTAAAGACATGTTGCTGTATATATTTACGTTAACATATTATTAACCCCTGACCTTGATCAAGCGATAATTGATTCGATTCACGTCCAGGGGAGAGATCCTGGGTGCTCATTACATAGGAAGTTGGGCGCGCCCTGTTCAGAAGAGAAATGTCACACTCCCTTTGAAATTAAAACCTTGGTCATCCATCCACTAGCCTAGTCACTATACTGACTGAGCAAAACTCCGTGGCCTGTAGTCTGCAAGCGAACTATACCGATCGAGCGACCGCCGCTTGTCGGCGAAGTTAGTGCCAAATTTGCGGATAGAGGGTGTCACGTGGTCAGCGCAACGAATCTCCACGGCCGTTAATCTCGG